GCCCTGACTAGGGAAGTCCAGGAGAGGCCTGTGTTGCTGGGGTTTGGGGTGAAGAGGGGCCTTTCTTTTGTCTACTTCCTCTGCTTTATATTTGCTTCTTTTGGTTTTTGAGACAGGGTCTGTGTAGCTCAGGTTGGCCTTGAACTCACTGTAGTCTTCCTGCCTCAGCACCCCAAGTGCTGGAATTACAGGTGTTTCCGCTGTTCCTTGCAACGTTCACCTTGATTAAAGGCAGACAGCTCGTCTTATCGCTTTGGCTCTGGTGCCTCCTAGTGGAATGGGGGCATCGCTACCACTGTTGCCCTCCAGATCCCCACTCCTCTCCCTCTTTAAGCAACTGCTTACCCAGGCTTGGGAGTCAGAGAAGAGTAAGACTGGTGCGGGTCACGCCCCTAGCCCACCCCCATGAACCGGAGCACTCACCCTTCCCCACACTCCTTCCGCCGTTTCTCCAAACCCCTCGCGCAGCAAGGGAGCATTAGAACTGCAGCCAAGATGGAAATGAGACACAGTGAGGAGACAGAATGAGCCCATCCTAAACTTCAGCAGAGGCGGGAGCAGCTCTGCTCAAGCCTCTGAAGGGGCGGGGGGGGACCCTCCTGGCTTTAATGAACTGTCACTCAATGAACCTGCATAAAAGGGTGGGGGCGGCGCGAAGGGGCGGGTGGGGACCCTCCTGGCTTTAATGAACTGTCACTCAATGAACTACAATAAAAGGCTGGGGGCGGCGCAGCAGGTTGTGAATAGTCCTTTTTCTTGTTTGAAAAACCTCACTTTAGAAAATCAGGCCAAGCCCTGACCTCTCACAGTGGCCTCAACTCTTGTTACCTGAGAACCAGGAACAAGGGAATGGGGAGATTTTGAAAAGGACTGGTTCTGAAATAATCTCCCCACCAGGGGGCGCACTTATCTGCACCCACAGAAAAGCCCCTAGTGAAATTAGGGATTAATTTTAAAACCAGAGTGGGGCGTGGTGGCACATTCCTATAATCCCAGCACTTGGGAGGCGGCGGCAAGAGGCCAGGAGTTCAAGGGCATCCTTAGTTATATAGCCAGTTCATGGACCACATGAAACCTCCATCTCAGATTTAGTAGCGTATAGGTTTTTAAAATATTCCCTTATAATGATCTGGATCTTTTGGGTGTTTGTTGTGATGTTTCCCCTTTCAGCTCTGATTTTGTTGATTTGGATTTGCTCTTTCTTTTGGTTAACTGGGCTAAGGGTCTGTCTATCTTGTTTAGCTTTTCCAAGAACCAGCTCTTAGATACACTGATTCTTTGTATTGTTTTCTTTGTTTCTATTTCATTTATTTCTGCTCTGATTTTTGTTTGTTCTTCTCTTCTGCTGGGTTTGGGTTTCATTTGTTCTTGCCTTTCCAGCATCTTGAGTTGCAATGTTAGGTCATTTATTTGGGCTTTTTCTAATCTTTAATTAATTAATTAATTAATTATTTTTGGTTTTTTTGAGACAGGGTCTTCCTATAGCCTCACCTGGCCTGGACCTCACTATGTAGACCAGACTGGCCTCAAACCCACAGAGCTCAGCCTGCCTCTGCCACCCAATTGCTGGGATTAAAGGCATGCGCCGCCATGCCTGGCTCTTTCTAATTTTTTAATGTAGGCACTTAGAGCTATAAACTTCCCTCTTAGGACTGCTTTTAATGTGTCCCAGAGGTTGTGTTGTGTTGTATTGTCCTTTTTGTTGAATTCCAGGAATTCTTTTACTTCTTTCTTAATTTCTCCTTTGACCCACTCATTGCTTAGGAGTGTGTTGTTTAATGGCCATGAGTTTGTGTAATGATTAGGGCTTCCTCCAGTGTTGATTTTGAGCTTTATTGCATTGTGGTCCGCTAGAATGCATGGAATTATTTCATTTTTTTGTATTTGTTGGATTTGTTTTGTGGCCCAGTATGTGGTCAATTTTTGAAAGAGTTCCATGGGGTGCTCAGTAGAAAGTGTATTCTTTGGTGCTTGGGTGGAATATTTGAAAGATGTCTGTTCGGTCCATTTGATGTATGGTATCATTTAATTCACACATCTCTCTGTTTATTCTTTGTCCAGTTGACCTGTCTAATGGAGACAGTGGGGTATTGAAGTCCTTTACTATTAGTGAGTTGGGGTTAATCTGTGTCTTCAAGTCCTGTAGTGTTGATTTTATGAATTTGGGTGCACCAGAGTTTGGTGCATATATGTTCAGGATTGTAATATCTTCTTGGTTAACTGTTCCTTTGATCAGAATGAAGTGACCCTCCTTATCTCTTCTGATTAGTTTTACTTTGAAGTCTATTTTGTCAGATATTAGAATTGCAACCCCTGCTTGTTTCTTAGTGCCATTTGCTTGGAATATTCTTTTCCATCCTTTCACCTTAGGGTAGAGCCTGTCCTTGAAGGTGAGATGGGTTTCTTGCAGACAGCAAAGAGATGGATTTTATTTCTTAATCCATTCACTTAGCCTGTGTCTTTTGACTGAGGAGTTCAGTCCATTGAGATTTAAGGTTATTATTGAAAGCTGGGTATTGGTTGCTGTCATTTTGATTTCTGTCTGTGTTCTTTGTTTAATTTTGTGTTTCCTCAATTATACCTTTATTTATTTTCTTTCATTGCACCTGGCGTATAGTTGTTCCTTTCTCCTCTTTTTGTATTGCTTCAAGTATTCTTTGAAGGGCTGGTTTGGCCCACCGAAATCTCCATGTCAGAAAAACTTTCAAAAGTTTAAGGCTGGAGCAGAGGCCTGGACCAGCTGGGGACTTGACCCACAGAGGGCATCCCTCTCTCTTTTCTACCTTCACCAGGCCCGGTGACTCTGGACCCGGCCTCAGCCCACCCAGACCTCATCCTTTCCCAGGATCTGAAGACAGTGACGCTGTACTTGGTATCCAGGGGTGATTCCGAGGAGCCCGAGGATCAGCAACGCTTCTACCCTTTCCAGTGCGTGCTGGGCTCGCCCGGGCTCTCTGCGGGCAGTCGGGCCTGGGAGGTGGAGCTCGAAGGGCCCGAGGTCAAGGCCGGCAAGAGAGAGGGCACCTGCGAGGTGGGCGTGGCCTCGGAGCTGGCGCCCCGGCGGGGCTGTCTGCAGGTGATGCCCCTGTCCGGCTTCTGGGCGCTCCGCATCACCGGTTCGGGGTGCCAGCCGCTCACCGACAGCTTTCCCCGGGAGACACTCCAGGTCTGTCCCAGGAAAGTGGGCGTCTACGTGGACCATGACTTCGGGGAGGTCGTCTTCTTTGACGCGGCCACCAACAATCACATCTACACCTTCCGGGCATCTTTCTCTGGGCAGGTCTTCCCCTTTATCCGGATCCTGGTCCCAGGCACCCAGATCACCCTGAGCCCCTAGAGCTGTTCCTGACAGCTCCCTCCCTCCCTTCCAGGAAGGTGCTGGGAGGCACTGCAGGTGCCGGGGGCTGAAGGTTGGCCCCGGGCGCGACCCCTTATGGTGACACCTGATGTTTCCTTTTTTTCCCAAACGGAGAAGAAAGACTCCAATACTCCAAAGGCTAAACGCAAGGTTACTCCCCTCTGCATTTGGTAACAGGACAAGATTAGAGGCAGCTCAAACCACATCATGGGTGATTGGTGAAAAAGCCGCTTCACAAGAATCGTGCTGTGCCCTGTTGAGACAGGTGGTGTGGGGTGTGGTGGGCTGCCCAGCGGTCCCCTCCTTCTCTACCTTGTGACCGCCAACCCCTGTGACTCTGAACATGGTCTTGGGGGGTCTGAACCTCATCCTTTCTTGAGACCTGAAAACTGCCGGGCTGTGTGCGCGCTCAAGGGGAGGCCTGGCTGCCTCCTTCCAGCCATCTGACATTGTGAATCAGCGTTGTTATCTACAGCCTTCACTCTGGAGAGCCCTACGGTCCAGTTAAAAATAAAATCGTCCAAGAAAATCTCATGGTGTTTTAAGTTTACGGTGTTGTGTTGGGTGGAATGTGGTCCTCTGACCTTGAACTGGATACATCTAGGAGACCACTTCTGTGGTGGGGCATCTCAAAACTCACCACAGCTACACTGTGTTACAAACAGGCCCCAGCTAAAGCCAGTAGTGGAAGCTAGAGGCAGTTAACTCAAACGTGGGAATGGAAAAGCTCCACCCAGCTGCGCCAAGGTGTGGGCTTGAGAACAGGCCGTGTGCACCTGGTTGTTCTGCTAACAGCAGATTTGTGGCTTCTGTACTTTCCGCATGGCCTGCTCTTGTAGAATAGAAATTGTCAAGGGAGGCTTTCTACCCCTAAGCTTGGGAACTTAAACTTTTCACCTTTGGGTGTGGCTTTTCTATATAAAAGCTTACCCTAAGGATGGCTCAGGGCTGCACTTGGGACCTGAATGCCCAGTGAATGAATGCCCAGGACCTGAATGCTGGCAGTCTATAAAGATGGTCTCTTGTTGCTGGGCGTGGTGGTGCACACCTTTGAGCCCAGCACTCTGGAGGCAGAGGCAAGCGGATCTCTGTGAGTTCAAGGCCAGCCTGGTCTGCTTAGCCAGTTCCAGGTCAGCTGGGGCTACAGGGAGACCCTGTCTCAAAAATGACCAAAAAAAAAAAAAAAAAGGCTTTCTCTTGTCAATTTTCTGTGTCTGGGTGGTCTTCTTTGGTGAAACAATCTCATAACACATCCAAGATTAAGTGCAAAAAGCCAGGGAACCTCAGACACATTACATTTCATGTTCTAAGAAGAGAGGAAAACATAGATACATTGTTTGCCTCTCTCTCATTCTCTACAAGGTCTCATGTAGCCTAGGCTGGCTTGTAACTCTGTATATAGCCCAGGATGACCTTGAATTTCTGATCCTCCTGCCTGGATCACAATGCCTGGTTTATGCACTGAGGATCAAACCCAAAGCTTCATGCATGCTAGACAAGCACTCACCTACCTGAGCTATCTCCTCAGCCCTGTCTCTCTGATTTCTAAAATTTAGACTGACAGTGCTTTTTTATTTATAGTCTCAGCTGGCCTGGAAGTCATTACATAGACCAAGAAGGCCTCAGCTTTACAGAGCTCCACCTGCCTCTGCCTCCTGAGTAGTGGGATTGAAGGCGTGTGCCTAAACTGACAATTTTGAAGGGATCCCAGTGATATTTTCTCTCCTCTCACATACACTGACCGCTGAGATCTTAGGCCGTCTCCCTGTTGTATGGAAGTTTCCTCTGACTTGAAACATTCCCTCCAGGAGGGAGCAGGAGGCTCATGAGACACCAGAGGTAAACAAAACTTCCCATTTCCGGTCAAGAAACTTGGAAGATTCTGGAAGCCTCTGCCCTGCCTTATAGAAAGAACAAACAACAGTTAGGGAAGAGACTGACCAGGAAATTGCATCCCTAGCACTCTCCAAACCACTTGCAGGCAGCCTAGCCTCTCAGGAAATCACCTCTGCAACTCTGCTGGCCAGACTGCTGAGCAATGGACATCAAATAAAGTTTCCCCAGGAGCCCCATGCTGGGGGAGGGACAGGCCGAGGCCTGGTGCCTCCAGAGGAGACCTGCCTTGCAAGGGAGTCTCACACAGCTCTGCCAGCCTCATCCCCTATTAAATTAGCATTAAATTAATTAAATTAGTCTCCCTTCCCTGGCTTTGTTTCATCTGGGCTTTAAAATTTTGACAGTGTTTCAGAAAAGATGGAAACAGAGTCTTTCTCTCTCTGGTTTGCAAAGCCTCTTTCCTTTATTAATTCCTGTTTCCTGACTTCTTTTAAGATAAGGGAAGAAGGAGCTGAGAGATGGCTCAGGAGTTAGGAGCACTGGCTGCTCTTGCAGAAGATCCGGGTTCCGTTCCCAGCAATCATATGGCAGTTAACAACTGTCCGTAACTTCAGTTCCAGGGGATCTGACACCCTCTTTTGGCCTCTGCAGGCATTGTACACGTGGGTGCACTTACATATATGCAGACAAAACACTCATACAACATAAAATTAAAATTATAAAATAAAATAAACCATACAGGGCAGCCATGTGGCTGGCAGGTTTATTCGGTTAGTTACCCTGTCACGCCTGCTTCTGGTGTACTGAGGTTAAACGTCCATGGCAGCCCAGGTTCAGAGTGCAGCTTTCCTCTCTGTAGCTGACCCCACACACAGGGCCTGGAAGCTTCCTGAGCCCTGGCACCACTCAGACCCCCTTGTCTCCATCTTGATCTCCTTATAAAGGTTATGTTGGCATACCCTTAGATGTCATCTCACCAACTCAAGTTCAGTGTACCTTCGAAATTACTTTGACTTCTACCTGCCACTCTGTCCCAAACAGCGAATAACGTGGGTCCTTCATCCAAGTGTCCTTCATCCAAGTGTTTTAGCAACTGTCTCTCTAAGACAGTAGGTGGCACTGTCTCCCAGGATAGGACTGGGCTTCATAAACTCACTTGAAAGAGCTGGAAGCTGCTGCCCCTACAACATAAAATTAAAATTATAAAATAAAATAAACCATACAGGGCAGCCATGTGGCTGGCAGGTTTATTCGGTTAGTTACCCTGTCACGCCTGCTTCTGGTGTACTGAGGTTAAACGTCCATGGCAGCCCAGGTTCAGAGTGCAGCTTTCCTCTCTGTAGCTGACCCCACACACAGGGCCTGGAAGCTTCCTGAGCCCTGGCACCACTCAGACCCCCTTGTCTCCGTCTTGATCTCCTTATAAAGGTTATGTCGGCATACCCTTCGATGTCATCTCACCAACTCAAGTTCAGTGTACCTTCGAAATTACTTTGGCTTCTACCTGCCACTCTGTACCAAACAGCGAATAACGTGGGTCCTTCATCCAAGTGTCCTTCATCCAAGTGTTTTAGCAACTGTCTCTCTAAGACAGTAGGTGGCACTGTCTCCCAGGATAGGACTGGGCTTCATAATCTCACTTAAAAGAGCTGGAAGCTGCTGCCCCAGCCACCTCCCTGGCCCCCATCAAGATATTTCTTTTAAAAATGATGACTGAAGGGCTGCAGAGATGGCTCAGTGGGTAAGAGCAGTGGCTGGTCTTCCAGAGGACCAGGTTCAGAGCCTAGCACCCTCATGGTGACTCACAACTGTCTTTAACTCCTGTTCCAGGGGATCCAGCACATCTGCTGGCCTGGGCAGGCACCGTATACATGTGGTGTATCTATATGGAGGCAAATTTCCCCAGGCATGTAAAATAAAGAGAAATAAATCATTAAAAAAAAAAGATGGTTGGCTGGGTGTGGTAGCACTCAGGAGGTGAAGCCAGGAGTTGGAGGCCAACCTGGACTATGTAAGACCTTGCCTAAAACGTGTGTGTGTGTGTGTGTGTGTATTTATGGCAGAGGAAAGGTAGCTCTGGAATATGTAGGTGGAGAGAAAAATAACAACATCAAAGTTCTTAAGGGCACGGGAGAGATGCAACTCCGCAGACCAGCAAAGGCAGGAAAACTTGCCTGTGAGAAACATTACGTGGCAGAAATAGGCAAACAATTGTAAATAGAGACGCCTGATATGGAATTTTGTTTTTAGACAGGGTCTCACTATGTAGCCTTGGCTGGCTGGAACTTTCTGTTAAAGAGGTGGCAGGGGTCGGGGTCTCCGTGAAACAGAAACAAAGAGGACTCTGGAAAAGCAAGAGTTTAATTGGGTTTGGGGAAGAACTAGCAGCCTAATGGGTGCAGAGCACAGCTTATAAAGGGAAAGAATGCGGAGAAAGAGAATACTTTTCTGCTGTTTGGGACTGTTTTGGGGGCTGCTTGCTCAGGGAGGGTGTGAGGTCTGTACCTGGTGAAGCATATTGGGAAAACCTCTACTGTAAAACAAGTTTTTCTACAATTACAGGCTTCCAGGAATTACTGCAGCTAAGGGCTCGGGAAACCTGTTAGAAACGTGTTTGTCAGCCTGCGGGGCATGCGCAATACGCTGGTCATAAACTTCCCCGGGCTGCTTTTGTTAACTCGCAGGTGGCCGGGAGTTGGTTGACTCAGCTCCTCTTAGGAGCCTCACGATTTCTGGGTCTGGGGTCGCCTGGATCTGAGCCCTATCGCTTTCTATGTATACCAGGCTGGTCTGGAACTTATAAAGACCTACCTGTCTCTGCCTTCCCAGTGCTGGGATTAAAGGCGGGCATCACTGCACGATTCTACATGGAGATGGAGAATCTTATCTGCTCTGCAGCTGTATCCTTAGATGAACCCCATCCTCTCTCCAGGCTAGCACACAGTCTCCAGGAAACTGCCAGTCAGTATGCTGGGTACAACGACTCAAGCAAGAGGCAGTGTAGAGAAACTGCAGGAAAGATTTGAGGCTCTATGTTTGAGGATAAGGTTCCCAGAAAAATGACGTGACTCTTGGGGCTCAGGCAACCAAGAGACGCTGCTAAGCGTCAGATTCTCGGCAGAAACGTTGACTTCTACCCAGTG